AGCAAAATGTACAGCTTGTTTAGAAAGACTATTGATAAAATTGAAAAGGAAAATGTTGTACAAATTGTTACTGATAATGCTAGTGAGAATGTTAGTGCGGGTAGGATGATGAAGCTATGTATCCACACATTTATTGGACTCCATGTGCTGCCCATTGTATCAACTTGATGTTTGGTGACATATTCAAGGAAAACCCATATGCTTCAGGTAACTTTAATATAGTTATCTTCAAAGCCTTTAACTTTATTTATACTTATGTCCTATCATATTAAGTATTAACTATAAAATTGTTATTGTTACTTTTACAGTTTTCACTAAGGTTGTCAGGGTATATTCTTACATCAGTCAGAGATCGTTGTTGTTGAATTTGATAAGGAAATTCACTAATGAAAGAAATTTGGTGAGACCGGCCAAGACTAGATTTGCAACGGCTTTCTTAACTTTGCATAGTTTTTACTTGCAAAAGAAAAACTTGAGAAGGCTAGTTCTTTCAAATGAATGGAAAGATAATAGATATGCAAAGGAAGTTGCGCAGAAAGAAACTGCCAAAGTTCTTATTTCTCTATCATTCTGGAATAACGTCGTTCGGGCTCTTAAAGTTGGTGGTCCTTTGATTAGGGTGCTTCGTATGGTGGATGGGGAGAGAAAACCACCAATGGGCTATCTTTATGAAGCTATGGATAGAGCCAAAGAGACTATTGCAGCGTCATTTGAGGGAGATATTAGGAAATATGAGAAAGTTTTTGAGATAATTGATACCAGGTGGGAGAATCAACTCCATCGACCTTTGCATGCAGCAGGCCATCTTCTGAACCCGGGATTATTTTACAAGAACACTAGAGATGAAACTTTGGCTTCAGAGGTGTGGATTGGATACCATGCATGTCTTGAGAAGTTGGTCCCTAATTCAGCGACGATAGATCAAATAGGGGAGGAGTTTGGTAGGCACTCACAAGCAGAGGGCCTATTTGGTTTACAAGCGGCCGTTAGAGACAGAGACATAAGGTCGCCAGGTAACTAACTTTAATATAGATATCCTTATAACTTTAAATTAATTTATTTGATGTATACTTATTACCTTTTAAAATATTTTTCTATAGTTAAATGGTGGAAGCAATTTGGACATCAAACTCCAAACTTGCAAAAGTTTGCCATCAAAGTACTAAGCCTAACTTGTAGTGCATCTGGATGCGAGAGAAATTGGAGCGTATTTGAGCATGTAAGAAGTAGATTTATTATATTAATATATTCTATATTGTATTATTATTAGTATCTATTAATTAATCTAAACAACTTATGCGCAGATTCACTCCAAGAAAAGGAATAGGCTTGAGTTATCGCGTCTCAATGATCTAGTGTATATTAAATACAATAGAACATTGAGGCGACGTTATTAAGCTCGCGATACCATTCATCCAATTTTGTTGGACAACATTGACGAGGCAAATGAATGGTTAACTGGAGCGTCCCAAAATCATGAAGATGAACAAGTGTATGAAGGAGATGATCTTGATTGGGGTACTGTTTCTATGGCGGCTGGAGTTGAGGAGAATATCTATGGTCTTAGAGGGACTGCAGTGTTTTGGATAGCGTGCGGCGACAAATAGCGACGAGGGCCCGCTTCACTGAGGCGAGAGGTGCGCAGCGATGCGCTCACCTTTTTGATGTGAAGCGATAATTTATACAAAAACATAAAATATTATATACATATAACTAAAAAATCAATAACAATAATATATTAATAAATATATCATTCAAAAATTAAAGACTCAATAGAAAAAAAATTATCAAGTCAATACGCAATTAATTCTACTCTATAAGTATAAGACTATAATTCTATAATTGAAAAAAACAGAGCAAACAAAACAGAGCAAACAAAAAAAAGGCTACTGCCTTTGGAAAAACAGCAAAGAAAGAAGAAAAACAGAGCAAAACAAAAAGGCTACTGCCTCTGGAAAAAACGGCAAAGAAAGAAGAAGAAAAATGAAGAAACTAACAGCAAAGAAAGATGAAGAAAAACAGAGCCAAAAAAAAAAGGCTACTGCCTCTGGAAATCAGCAAAGAAAGAAGAAGAAAAATGAAGAAAGAAAGAAAAAAGAGCTGATCATTAAATGATTGAAGAAAGAAAAAAGAAGAAGAAGTCGCTGCTGAAATAGAAGAAGAAAGTACAAGAAAAAAGGAGAAGAAGAAGAAAAGAAAAGAAAGTAACATACCTGGTGATGATGGCTGATGATGGAAGAAGAAGAAGAAGAAGATCGAAGGTCGCTGAAGGAGAATAAGAAGGTCGCTGCTCGTCGCTGAAGGAGAAACGTGAAACCCAAGCCCTAATTTTGTGTTTTAATATTAATGTTGCCTTTTCTTCCGTTTTATTCAAAAAGCGACGCCTCGCAGCGCCTCTCGCTACATAGGCAGAGGAGCTCGCCTTTTCTTCCTCGCAACGCAACAGACCAAAATAGCGAAGTTACAAGGGAAAGGGAGTAGCAAGTTCAAGCCGGTCCCTAATTGATGAAGACTTCGAGGATGAAGAAGATGATGACCAATATAATGCTAACATTCATGAAGTTGTAGAATTTGAAAATCTTGAAGAAGAATAGATGTTGCTTGTGTTTTAGACTATTAGGCTTTAGTTTATGAATCTACTATGAGTCTATGACTATTTATTGAGTCTTTAATTTTTGAATGATATATTTATTAATATATTATTGTTATTGAGTTTTTAGTTATATGTATATAATATTTTATGTTTTTGTATAAATTGTCGCTTCACATCAAAAAGGCGAGCGCTTCGCTGCGCGCCTCTCGCCTCAGTGAAGCGGGCCCTCGTTGCTATTTGTCGCCGCACGCTAATCCAAAACACTGTACTGAGCTTTCCTTATCCACAATTTGATTTCCTCCCTCGATTTTTTATCAATCACTAATTTTAATATTTTCAATTGGCCACTCTTAGATTACCGCAATTTGGTACCTTACTTTTTTGGCATCTGTGTGATCTCCTTTGCATGGTATGTTCCTTTGTCCATGATCTTTGAGGTCCCCTATTCAGCTTGACTTTGTTCCTCCTTGACTTCCCACAAGCCCATACCATGTTTATGAATTGTCTACCATTTCCTTTATTTAGAAAGGTTTCTGTCCGATTAAAGAATAAGATTTCTTTTCCAAAATTGTCATGTAGATAAAAAATATTTGTCACGTAGATGATAGATTTTTATTATATTTCATTTCTCTTATACTAAGCTTGTGTTTCTGAATAATTTAGCTACTATTTCCATTAGAGCTTGATAAAATTGGGCAGCACCAGAAATTGCCTGGAAAAGTTGCCAGAGAATCAATGTCTTGCTTGTTTCTATGTCTCAAGTAGTCTAGAGAGAAGGGAGAATTTCTCTCTCCATCCTAGAAGGACCTTTGCTGAATCAATAGTTACATGCAAGAGGCGAGAAAATATAAAAATATTTCACTTCATGTAAACAATACACAAGTTAAATTAGGGAAGACAAATTACCTGACTCCATCATGAGGAGAACGAGTAAGCTGCACAAGTGCTTCAAGAGCCCCTGCCTCTTGTCCCACTGCTGCATTGTTACTGTTGCTATCACCATGAGCAGCAAGATTTGCGAGTGCACGGGCAGCCTGGAGAAATAAAATAGATATTATCATAAAACTGACAGCATCAGATATACGAACATACTCTTCACCAAATGATCCACAAATTGATAGCCAAAACAGCCCAACAACACTAGACACCACAATTTCAGAAACTCATCTGTCTGTGGTGTTAGATCATACAAGTCCCAACTGGCAGATGTTGCATGTAATCACTTGCATATTAAGAAAAAGAAGGGCCAAGAGGACAGCACAATATCACAGATAACTTTTAGAATTAACAAGAAGTAGGAGGGAATTCATATTCCATTGTGCTCAGGTGTATCCTATGCAGTGGATCTGTATATGGTACATGCATGTACAAGCCACCTCCCGCGAGGTCCTATTGCAAACAAAACAACCAAGAAAATGATGTTCTAGCCTCAGAAGTGCACACAGGTTCGCTAGTGACCTATCAACTTAAAAGGATGCCCTTTGGTAAAGCACAGGCGTTTGATGCATATAAAAGCTTGTTCAGATTTACTCTTGCATTCAACAATTTCCATTGGATGCTCAGACCCTAAATACAAAGTGATATGTTGAAAAAGAAAACCTAGAAACTGTCTGCTTGTTATCCTGAAGAGTCAGACAAAAGTTGCTGACTTCAAAAGCTGAAAGAATTGAACCTGCTCTTGAACTCCTTCAGACTTGCAGTTCTGAGCAAGCTTTACTAAAGCATGTACACCACCTACTGTCGCTACTTCCATGCTACATTTGTCATCTGCCGCCAAATTTGCTAATGCACCAGCAGCACGTTCCTAAGAGGTGGCAAAAAATAAGCAAGTTACTTACAGCAACATGAGCTGATAATATTCATTTTTATGGCATAAATTGCAAGTAAGAATGCAAGGCATGAGTTTTACTTGCATATGCATATGCTAAAGGCACGTACCAGAACTCCCTCACCACCAGTGACAGACCACTTGAAGATAAGATCTACCAGAGCTTTTACACCACCAGCTTCAGCAATGGCGGCCTGCATTTGAACTTTGTTTAGCAGGAAGCAAATTGCCGAAAAACAAGAAAAGCAACTACAAATTTGACAACCTTATGCTCTTCCCCAACTGACAGATTCCACAGCCCTCCAGCGGCCTCTTCTGCAACCAACCTATTCATAGACCTTGCTAAATTTGCTAGGATGCTTATCCCACCTTCCTCTGCTACAGCTTTTGCAACATTGGCGTTCACAGATAAATTTGCTATAGCCTACACATAGAATAGAGATGCATACAGATCAATTTTCACCATGAGAGCAAAATAACTTTAGCACATTTTTGGGCCATTCATCAAGTAGTGTCAGAGGGATAAAAGCAAGCTAATGGATGCTCTTGAAAGACAACTGAAATGTAATAGAGCAGCACAAATATGATCTAGCAAATACAATTCATGAACACCTACCATAAAAAGTTATACAAAATCAAACTAAACAGTAAGAAGTTCTTTTAACCAAAGCATTAGAAAGAAGTTTCACCTTTGCAGCTTCTGTCTGAAGTCCTTCTCGCCAAGATCTTGCAAGGTTTAGCAGGAGACCTATGCCTCCATCTCGCATAACTGCTTCAGCCCTTCCACTGTGAATACTAGCATTTTCATCATCAATGACAACAAAAGTTGCCAGGCCAGTGGCTGCCCTTTCTTGAACTTCCTCTTGAGCACTCCGCATTAAACTAAGTAACAGATATGCACCCTGGCTAAGCCAAAAATTGTCCAACCCTTGTGGATTGCTTTCAGCAATTCGCAGAAGTGAATGGGAAAGGATCCATTCCAGCCAATTCATTACATCATCCATTTTTCTGTCCTTGGTCTTTAAATTTCTCCACTCCATAAATACATTCCTCTCTTTATTTGTAGTATCGGCAAATAGTGATGCTACTTCTTTAAAAATGTCAGTGAAAAAAGAAAGTAGTAGTTTACCTTTATGATTGTTATTGGAAACAAAGTTGGCATCTTGCTCGAGGGCTGGGCAATATAAGGCACACAAGATCTTCAAGCAT